GATTTAATGATTGTTTAGCACAAAATGGCCACCATTTGGCCATTTTGATTAGGATCGTCAAACCAATATATCTGTCTATCTATGACATGATGTATAATGAATATTTAAAATTTGAACATAATCAGTGAAAGCAAGTCAGAGATATGGCACAAGAACCACATTCATTAATACAAAATGGCCGCCAGTCGGCCATTTTGAATCTTATCTGAAAAACAAAATTATTTGCATCAAGGTCCCATCATGTCTAATGTATATACCAAGTTTGAACAAAATCCATGTGTAAACAGCCGAGAAATGCTTGATTTTGATGATTTTTAGCACAAAAATGGCCGCTATTCGGCCATCTTGAATCAGATCATGAAACAAATTGACATGCATATGTATAATGTCATGTATGATGTATGTGTGAAGTTTGATTGTGATTGGTCCAGGCATTTCTAAGATACAGGTCCGGACGCACACACACACGCACGCACGCACACACGGAGGTCAAAACATAAGTCCCCATTTTCGGACTGCGACAGGGACTAAAAATGACGTGCATCAGAAACCCATAACCCGAACGAAATCCATCTATAAATGCCAGAAATGCTTGATATTTGATGATTTTTTTTAGCACAAAAATGGCCACCATTCGACCATTTTGAATAGGATCATCAAACCAATATATCTGTATATCTATGACATGATGTATAATGAATATTAAAAATTTGAACATAATCAGTCAAAGCAAGTCAGAGATATGGGTCTAGAAGCCCATTCATTAAAACAAAATGGCCGCCAGTCAGCTATTTTGAATCCAATTTGAAAAATAAAATGACGTGCATCAGAAACCCGTGTGTACCAAGTTTGAACGAAATCCATCCAGAAATGCTTGATATTTGATGATTTTTTCAGCACAAAAATGGCCATCATTCAGCCATCTTGAATTAGATCGTGAAACAAATCGACGTGCATATGTATAATATCATGTATGATGTATGTGTGAAGTTTGATTAAGATTCGTCAAGGCATTTCTAAGATACAGGTCCCGACAAACGCACTCACGCACAAGAGTCAAAACATAAGTCCCCGTTTTCGAACTGCGTCCGAACTGGTACTAATAAGGTTTATAGTTTTTCATTTACACACACACATAAAGTTGGACATATGGTAACTCATAACATATTTCATTCATATGCACTTTTGTATAACATTTCAACATGCAGCAAAGAAGCTCATGAATAACAGGTTGTGAGCATGCTCAGTAACGTAGCAACCAGGGAAAACACACAAGAACTCTTCTATTGAACATATAAAAGACAGAATTTTTTTAGGGAACAATATAGTTGAGTGAAGTGCAGCTGGTGTAGTGGAGAGTGAAGAGAAGATCTCACCTTTATATTATGCAGTAATTGAAATAAGTCCTCTACTTCATCCATAATATCAGGCACATAATTCTTATCTGTCACGATAGATGAACCAAATATTGTCCTCCTATACAGTGGTAGGTCCATAGCTTGGGCATACAACTCAACACCATCATGCCCCACTGTTTGAAACATGTAGCTATCCATTTCATCTGGATGTAGCAAATCAAAGAAAAACAAGTCATTGTCAATGACACGTCCGAGTTCCGTTCATATTTGAGTGACATATACATTCAGTAAAACAAAATAGCCACCAGTCAGCCATTTTCAACACAATCCAAAAAAAATTTAAACTAAATTTGCCCATGCATGACTAAGATTCAGTTCCGATATGGTGAAAATGTGCAATTTTCGTGAATTTTTGACCTTAAAAGGACTGGCCCAAATGCACAAGCATATGTATGATATAATGTATGATGTGTATGTGAAGTTTGAACTTGATCAATCCAAACATGTCTCGGATACGGATCCAGAACTGAATTCTTTAAAACAAAATGGCCGCCAGTCCGGAATGGTGAAAATGTACGATTTTGATGCATTTTCGGCCTTAAAATGGCCGCTATTCGGTTATTGTTAATCGGATCATGAACAAAATGCATGTGCATATGTCCCATATAATGTGTGATGTATGAGTGGAGTTTGAACTTAATCGGTCTATGCATGTTTGAGATACAGGTGATCACGGACGCACGCACGAACGCATGCACGAATGCACACAGGGCAAAACATAAGTCCCCGTTTTCGGACTACGTCTGAACGGGGACTAATAAAGAATTCATAATCTTTTCACCTATATGTACCAGTGTGTTAAGTATTACAAGTCATTGACATGACTACTGACAGCGTAATTACTATAAGAAGCTCTTCTTTATTAAAAATGTACAAGCTGAAGAAATATTGGTATTATTAGAACAGAACCACCTTTACACAACTAACTTTTCATTGTTAAATTCAAAATGCCATGCCATTATGGTTAGTCATGGTAAACAAAACTGAAAAGAGTCGGCCATTTTAAATCAGAACATAAAACAAATGATATATGTAGTTACAACGTTTGATTGCGATCAGTATGTCAGAGGCTATTTTGAAACCAATCTCAAAAAAAAACATTCTGATCCTGAATGATATATATATTCGCCATTTTTTAAAATTAAAATGGCCACCATTAAGCCATCTTGAATCGGATTGTAAAACAAATTAATGTGCCTATGTGTACATCATGCATAATGTATATACAAAATTGAAACATAGTTGGTCAAGGCTAGCCACAGCGTTGTCAGAGTGAGCGTTCATGGATCCATGGCAGTGTTTGAGTGGACAGCTGACAACAGAATAATGTCCACTCTAACAGTGCCTAAGATTCAGGGCTAGGTCAGGGAAAGTCAGAAATATGGCTCTGGCACAGCATTCATTCAAACAAAATGGCCGACAGTCGACCAATTTGAATCTGATGTGAAAAACCAAAGGATGTGCAATGCAGTACCAAGTTTAAACAAAATCCATATACACATGATCAAAGATCTGGTTTCAGAATAGCAGGAATGCTTGATTCTGATAAATTTTTAACATTCATGTGAAACATTTGAACATCCACACATGTGTGTATGATGTTTGTGTGAAGTTTGAATGTGATCGGCCGAGACATGTCCGAGATACAAGTATCGATAGAGACACGCATGCACGCACACACGCAAGCACACACACACACGGAGGTCAATCCATAAGTCTTTGTTTTCAGACTGCATCCAAACAGGAATTAACAAAACGGTGAACACTTTGAAGCAAGTCCAAAAAACAACATCCTGCTGTCTTGAATTAAATGTGAAGTTTACAAGAAATAATTTTACAGCAATTTTTGATGCAGACGCATGGTTGGACATTCACACACACCGCATGTGCAGAAATGAACTGTAAGTATATGTTTTTGGACTTTGTATAAAGCATACACATTTCATACACACAGTATAGATCGTATGTCCAAAACCTTACCTTTCTTTTCAGGTTTCAGGTTTGCCAAGGCAACAATCTTATGTCCCTCTGCAACACATTGCATCATACTGTAGCAGCTGTCCTTGCCACCACTGAAAAATAAGAACAGATTCAAGAAGGTGATAATCTGTTATTTTACATAGTTAAACTATACATACCTTACACCAAACAATTACTGATTTGAAACTCTGAATTCGGGGTCAAGGTTGAGTCAAGCCTGTTTTGTGCAAGTATGATAAGTAAAAACAGGCCATTGTTAATGACATAGTTGGAATTAGGGGAAATATTATTTATGCCAACAACAAAGTAATATGAACCAAAAGCATAGTTCATAATTTAGAATGAATAATTGGCTTGTCTAGTATCAACAGGAATTACATGTATTAAATGACTCTTCCAAAATCATTATATACTGTAAAAATACTTTATTTTCGCTGAAATTAATTTTTCGCTGAATTGACTTTTTATGTGTGTTATATGGTATTTATTTTCACTGATTTTTGGTGAGTTGAATGTAAAAGATAGGAAAAAAGGTATATTCGTTGGATTTTATTTTCACTGAATCATTCCTTCAGCGAAAATAGCGAAAATAAATTCCAAGCGAAAATAAAGTATTCCACAGTATGGTCAGAAATTAAACAGGATAAGCAGTTTTTGTATCCAAACTGAATATCATTTGTCCTCATGTACAGAAATACGAAACATGAAACGAATCATCATAGACATGTATCTCACCATGTTTGTATTAAATTTGAATGAAAACTGACAAATCCTGTCCAAGATAACACATTATCAAAAAAACAAGATGGATGCCAGTCGGCCATTTTTGATCTGATTAAAGAACAAGTATTCCAATATGTATGAAGTATGTTTCAAATGTAATTGAAAATGGTCCGTAAGTCTTGTAGATATAGTAGTAGGGTCATAAAACAAGATGGACTTCAACTAGCCATCTTTGATCTGATTGTAAAACAAATTGTCACAGACATGTAATCTAAAATGTGCAATGTATGTACCAAATTTGAAACAAAAACTGACAAAGCATGCATAAGATACTACATTTTCAAAAAAAAAAAAAATGGTTGCCAGTCGGCCATCTTTGATCCGATCGCGAAACGAATGATTGATGTATCCTAACATGTATAATGTATGTACCAAATTTGAACAAAAGCTGACAATGCATGCATAAGATACAACATTTTCCAAAATCAAAATGGCTGCCAGTCAGCCATCTTGGATTGAATCAGTAAACCACTGCAAGTGCATATGTCCCAGATAAAGTACTAGGCACATGCAAAGAATAAACAGATTTGGTCCACAAGGTTCTGAAATACGACTCTGGACGGACGGACGGACGGACAGACAGACAAAGACAAAATTACAAGTCCTTGTTTGCATTCAGATAAAGAACATGCAAACAGTTGTACTACCCATAGATAACTTGGCTAATATACATGTACGCAACTGTTGGCGAACTGGTGGCCAAAATAGCTCTGATGTCTTACAAGATCATTATGGTAGCCAAGTTGACAACAAATTGTTCACAAAAAGAATGTACACCACAAATATCAAAGCTATCGGGTTGGTAGTGTTCAAGAAAAATTTGAAAATAGCATTTTTTATCAAAAATATTGCCAAAAATAGAGAATTTAACATATCGTCATAAAATGAACAAATCTGACAGAGAGGTCCATTCACGGTACCTGCATATCAAGTATCAAAGCAATTGAGCTGGTAGTTTTCAAGAAGAAGTTGAAAATGCAATTGTTGATGAATGACAGACTGTAGACTATGAGCTAAAAAAACAAACACATGTAACTAATAGGCCAGGTACACCAACAGTGTTCTACCTTTAGGGGTAAAATTTGCAATCAATAAACATTTTTCAGAGAAACAATCTGCTCGGCAAAAAACAATTTTTTTTTTAGCAAAAATTTCTTTTTTTCCCTATTCATATATTTGTAGAGGCTTTCATCAGGTCTGGTGTATTATTATATTTAAAGTAATAGTTATTATTTAGTAGTATTTGTCAAATTAAATGTTTTGTTTGAATTGCAGTAAATAATGTCACATATGTGATAACCACCGTCTCCTGAGCAATAAATGAAAATGATATGCTAGGTTTGCACGGCAACATTTTATCAAAACTGAACTTATGCTCCTCCCACCAATTAACAGGAGATTATCTTCCATGTGTTTATATGGTTGTGGCCAAATGTGGTCAGGCATAGGTTTGTTTAGAGCTGAACTGGAATAACCTCTATACATGGTTTTTGTTTAGACAGTCGGACCATGTTGGGGCACAGAGTTTCTTCAAAAATTTATAAATTGAAGGGCAGAGTTCGTCATGCCATGTGATTTTCCCTCAACTTAATGTGCTTTCTCTCCCCCATTGTTGCAAGTTTTGATCTGTCCGCGATATGCACTTAATTACCATATTTGACTTCATTGCATTCCACTAGTGTCCTTTTTTTTTTGCACAACAATGTAAGTTGCCAACTTAAAATGGGACAAATATCATGTGCATGACCTGGTGTACCACTGTCCTTTAAATTGGAAATCCCATCCAGGGGTTACCAAAAATTGGTATATAGTGTGTCAGCACTTAAACAGGGAATATAATGGTACAGGAAATTATGCCTTATAACGCCAAAGTAAATATAGCTATTGATTATAAGTATTGACATCGTCATTTAGCTTCTTTTTTTTTAAATCACTTATGTATAAAGTTTGTATGATATCATTAAATACAAATTTTGTACACTTCACTGTAATGTTGATTGTTGGCATAATATTTAATGCTCGACGCCTCATAGGTGTCTTGCGATTTGAAGAATACAAACAAACTACAAAGCAACTTACCTTATAAGGGCAACAATCTTCATTTTCCTAGAGGTTGTAAGGAGAAGAAGAGAGAAAGAAAGAAGTGCACCACTTTCACTTTTTACAGCAACTTCCAATTTCGTACTGGCTGTACGCGTACTAGTATAACATCTAGGTGTTGTATTTTGAATTCTTGCAGAGATTGAAAAATAAAGGCCTCGAATGTGCCAATGTCAAGTGAAATTATTCAAGATAGACTGTAGTCTCACTGAAACAAGTGTGGTATCAGGGACTGTGGTGGTATGAATATCAAACACGATACAACACCTAGACTAAATGCCATCTATTATTAATATCTCACACAGTGCAACACCTAGACTGGACACTGTTTAGTATCGCGAGACTTTGAAGAATCTACGAATAATTGAAAGGGCAGGCACTCTGAATGGTCCGATTCATGCACCGTGTCCAACACAACACAGAATATCGTATTGCAGGGTCAAAGGTCAAACGCTACGCCACATGGGTAAAATTCGACAGTACATATCTGGGCATGCGTATAAGGTTTCATCCACGTCGCCCTGTTTGGGTATTGAAGTTGGTTATACGTGACTTCAAAAATCAGCGCATTTAAGGTGAATTTGGCGATTTATGCAAATGAAACGCATCGGGTATTTCCAGAGGATCTCTTCGCTTATTTAGGTATGACATTTGTTGCATTATAACTGTAGTTTGGGGTGCTTTTGCATCCAAAGTCGTAATGTTTACACGATAATATTCGACATGGCGGTCAGCTGAGCTGATGGCCACTTCGATGTTGTGTGTCAGTTCACAGTCCGTTTTATAAAATCTGTGATTTTTCTCATTTATGTTATTTAAAAATCACGTGTGAGAATAACACCGCTGTTTTAAATATGTCCTAAATTGTGTTACTTTTCAAAATCTACAACCAAGTGCATCTTCCAGGAAGTCAATTATTAGAAACCGTTGTTGATAGTCATTAAAAACACGAATAAATTAAAGAAGTGGACATTGTGTTGTTTATTTTGGTTGGATCTATGTCAGATCATTCGTCACAAGGCACGTGACCTGCAATTAGGTAAGCCAGCGACTGCTGATGATTTGTACACACTCCCACCATGTCATACGCTGTAATATATGCAATGACAATCCTGGTTTGCCCATAACTCTGGTTGAAGGCTCTTTCGTAGAGA